AACTCTTGGTGCCAATCCAGAGTAAGGCTGTTGGAGGAGAGGGAATCCCCGAGGCAACAAGGTCTAAACTATGCAGAGCTTCATAGGTTAAGAACAACAGAATTAGTATGGCAAGGAAATACATTTTGGCAACCAGTGCAAGAACTCTAACAGCCAAGGAATAGTCTAGATTAATTCTATGTTGTCTATCTTTTCCTGTTGCTTTTAAGATACTCCATTCTTTCTTTTTTCAACTTCCTACTTTGTCTGTGGCACCACAACTCTGATATCCAAAAAGGAGCCCCCGGTAGTGCAGTGGGTTAAACCCCTGTGCCAGCAGGACTGAAGACCGACAGGTCGCAGGTTCGAATCCGGGGAGAGGCAGATGAGCTCCCTCTATCAACTCCAGCTCCTCATGCGGGGACATGAGAAAAGCCTCCCACAAGGATGATAAAAAATCAAATCAGGTGTCCTCTGGGCAACGTCCTTGCATACGGCCAATTCTCTCACACCAGAAGCGACTTGCAGTTTCTCAAGTCGCTCCTGACACGACAAAAAATATATATCCAAAAGGGGACACGTTCCTTGGCTTCAAATAGATATGTGAACCCCACTGAAATGATGGACACCTGACGTAACAATATCATAGAGCAGAGCTTTCCTAACTGTGTGTTGCGACAATTAGTGTCATTAGTGTGTCAGCTGCAGTGCATAGATGTGTCACACTAACGTTACCAGAAACCTCTAATGAAATAATCAATAAATCATGTCTATATAAACAAAAATGTAATGTTAGTTTGTGGGATTAACATAACTCAAAAACTATTGGATGAATTGACACCAAATTTGGACACAATACACCTATCAGGCCAATGTATGGTCTTTACTCAAAAAGTTTTTATTTTGTCATTTGGGAGTTGTAGTTGCTGGGATTTATAGTTCACCTATTTATTTATTTATTATTTTATTTATTTCATTTACTTATACCCCGCCCTTCTCACCCCGAGGGGGACTCAGGGCGGCTTACAGAGGAGGCAGAATTAAATGCCTAAATCAATTGACAATAATACAAATACAACAAAAACAATTCAACAGTTAAAGTTAAAACATCAGTACATAATAAAATATTAAAACAATCTCATGCTCGGGTTCAGAGTCCATATAACCATTCCATTCCATTTGTCGTTGTCTGTCGTCAGATCCTTAATTTAACTGCCAGTGTGTCCAAAGGCTTGGTCCCAGACCCAGGTCTTCAGTTGTTTCCTGAATGCCAGGAGGGAGGTCGCCGATCTAATCTCCCCGGGGAGTGAGTTCCACAGGTGGGGGGCCACCACTGAGAAGGCCCTGCTCCTCGTCCCCGCCAACCTCACTTGTGAGAGTGGCGGGGTCGAGAGCAGAGCCTCCCCAGAAGATCTTAAGCTTCGAGGTGGGATGTAGAGGGAGATCCGTTCGGACAAATACACTGGGCCGGAACCGTATAGGGTTTTATAGGTCAAAACCAGCACTTTGAATCAAAGAGCATTCAGAACCCCACGAACGACAGAATTGGAGCAGACTTCCTACACAGAACTCCCATGACCAACAGAAAATACTTAAGGCCATCCAGTCCAACTTCACCAGGGCAAGAAAACGTAATTAAAGCCCTCCTGACAAAGAGTCATCCAGCCATAGATATAGTTAGATATATATGATTCACACACACACATAGTATCATAGATTTGAATGGGACACCTAAAGAAGGACAATTATTTGTTGCATATTCCAGAGTAGGCAAACCAGACACTCTCCACATCAACACTGACAAAGAAACAACAAGAAATACTGTTTACCCACAAGCATAAAGAAATTAGATATATTAGAAACCAACACTTTCTCATTATTTTATTTTCCAGATAACCAGACTGGGCCACAGCAATGCGTGGCAGGGGACGGCTAGTATATATATGTGAGAGAAGGTTTTCATTGAATATTTTGCTCCTATAATTTATGTATGTGTCCATATTTCTTATAAGTGTTTGGTTTAACCTCTGGTTTAACTCCCTTCCCAGGGATATTGGATCGGCCTCCTTCCTCTTGACCTTTCAGCAAGAGGGAGGGGCCCGATCCAAGCGTTTGTAGCTTCAGCATGACCAGATAAATACAAAATTGTAATACGGACACAGAACGGCTATGATGCTGCAAACGGATAAGGAATTGGTCCGGAAGACACTGTTGTTTTAATAGATTTATATAGTTTTTATGGATTTTATATGTATTTATGATGTGATTTAATTGCTTTTAACTGATGTAAAATGATGCGCATCTGAAAAGTGTGTCACCAACACAAAATGTTTGAAAAACTCTGCCATTAAGTCACACTGGAGTACCTAGGAAATGCCTAGAGAGAATGTATTTTGTCAGATATGGACAAAGGAAACCAGTCCTGTGGCTTCAGGGGTCACACTGTAGCTTGTATTCCATTAACTAAGCAGCAGGGAAAGAAAGAGCACAAAATCTTGTCCTTCCCAACAGGCTCAAGCAAAAGCAAATTGTGGCAGCCTCTCCTAGCCTGTATGTTTTTCCCCATTAAAATTGTTTATCATCTCGGCCACACTCTCATATTGCTTAGCCACACGCATCTCCATTTTTCATCTGCAACATGTCAGAGTGTATGCAATCCAGGCAGGGCAGCACCAAGCCTATATGATCAAAATGCCTTGTCCTTGTCAGTAAGTCTGTCTGCAGTTTCTGAACAGTCTTCAACAGCTGCCCAATATGTAGCACAATCCCGCTGTATAACCCAGAAGTTAGAAGATCACTAATGCCAGGCTATTTCTTCTAAAGAGGACCACTTAGGTTTCCAACTATAGTGATGAACCCAGGAATGTCCTATTGGTGGATATAGGCTACTTGTAGTGAAGATTCCATCTGAACATGAGGAAGAACTTCCTGACTGTGAGAGCAGTTCAGCAGTGGAACTCTCTGCCCCGGAGTGTGGTAGAGGCTGCTTCTTTTAAACAGAGGCTGGATGGCCATCTGTCTGGGGTGCTTTGAGTGCAGTTTTCCTGCTTCTTGGCAGGGGGTTGGACTGGATGGCCCATGAGGTCTCTTCCAACTCTATGATTCTATGAAAAATATATATTACAAGAATTCCCTCATTTTCATTTATCATTTATCAAAGATGGCTTGCTAGCAGTTAAAGGTTGGTTCTCCTTTGTTACTGCATTATAAGAGACAATACGGTGTGATAGATTGCATCAGATTGGACAAGAGAGACTTGAGTCCCAATCAGAGCTTGTGATATTATTTTCAAAAAGGAATTGCAGATAAAGTCCAAGACCCCAAGGTACGTAGCTGAGTTTCTTTATCACTGTAGGCTTTAAAATATCTTATTCCCATCCTATTCCTCAAATGTAACTAAAAGAGTCACTTTTAAAATTATTTCAAGAAACATCTGAATGCAGAAGAACTTTTGCATTCATCAAAAAATATTAATTTGTTATAAATAAATGATTTTTTTTCTTTCTAAGCTATTTTCCCATGGAGGGGTTAGCCTTGTGGCTGTCGTTTCCACAGGACTTTGTTTTGGGCATCCCCAGGTCTCAAGTTAGCAGCACGCATGTTTTTGATTATGGTGTCTGTCTATCTTTATTTTTTTTTTGGGCTATCCACATGGTCGCCATCCTGCAATCTCCAAATGTAGTGCTGTTTGTGCTACTGACAGAGGCAGCCCTAGGTAATTTTCTACGGTAAGCAAACAGTATTTTGGCGCCTCCCCCCAACCAATCACTAATTTATATTTTCTGTTCATCGTGGGAGTTCTGTGTGCCATATTTGGTTCAATTCCGTCATTGGTGGAGTTCAGAATGCTCTTTGATTGTAGGTGAACTATACATCCCAGTAACTGCGACTCACATATGTCAAGGTCTATTTTCCCCCAAGAGCACCTTAAGAGCGCCTTGGGCAAAATCAACTATACTACAAATGCTTACTTTCCGTAATGGGTTGAGCCGCTCCTGGCTACTAATGTTGATTCTCTTATCAAGACATGGCTGTACCACCGTAGTCTTGCTTCCTGCATTTTCTTGTTGATCGCTTTTATTCCTAGTCTTCATTTGGCACATGGTCAAAAAGTGTCAAGCTGAGTGTCCATCTCAGCATTTTTGTTACGAATAAATGCATTCTCTCAAAAAGTACAGATCCATTTTGTTTCTTGCACTGTAGAGAGAAAACAACTTGACTGACTTGATGTGCGTGTGTGTCATTCACTATGCAGAGTATCTCGATCAGCCCCAAGGGTTGGATACTGCAATGAAGAGCATGGTCTTGTTCCATTTTAATTACAGTATATTCTGGCGTATAAGACTACTTTTTAACCCAAGCAAATCTTCTCAAAAGTCAGGGGTCGTCTTATACGCGGGTGTAGTTTTATGCATGGGAGTTGTCTTAACTCTATATTTTAACTGGAAAAGTTGGGGGTCGTCTTATACGCCCAGTCGTCTTATATGCCGGAATATACGGTACATATATCAACTGTACCAAAGATTGATTTTTTTCTCTGAACAACAATCCCCAATATCAAAGAAGACCAAAGTCTCAAAAATACAGCTTTAAAGTGTTACTTTTGGGAAGATAATGGGAACTGTATTAGGGAAAAAACCCAAACTTTTCCAAACTCTGCCCCCAAAAACACCATTTGAAAGCCCATCGTTTGAGAAAGCACTGTGCCAATTCTCCTAAAAGACCTCTTGCAAGCTGCCCAAATCCACAACCCCAGTGGCGCCCCTTGGCTATATCCAGAAGCCAGTAAAAATCCCTTCCTCTCGAGGAGAGGGATGCTGGTGCCTGTAGTCACAGGCTTGGCACTGTGTAGGTAGAGGAGGGGAGCCGAGCGACAGTAGCCGCTCATGCCTTCTGGACAGTGGCTGGCTGTGTGTATGTGCACAGAAGCACCATTCATTGGTGTGAGGCTCGGAGCCTGGCCAGGTGCTCTGAGACAAGCTCCCCTGTATGAGGTGGGCTCATACATCCTACGGCTGGCATGGATTTCCAGCACCCCCTTGGTACTATCGAAGCTTTCCCTCCAGTCAAAGTTGTGCTTCCCCTCCTCCCTCTTCCTCCTCCATCGTCAGAGAGTTGTGGGGATGAAGAATATAAAACCTCTCACTGTACAGGAGGAATATATGCTCCCAAGCAGGGAACCCAGCCTGGAGAGCAACAGGCTTGAAGATAGCAAAGCAGCGAAAGGATGAAGCTCTTTCTCCTTGCTCTCTTTGCCTTGGCCCTGTGGGTTCCTCCTGGCTGGGCAGCCAGGAAAAAACCCAAAAGCCCAACCAAGGACTTGAGTTCCCCCTCCTCTCCGGCTGCCCTGAAGGTGCCAACCCAGGCAGTGAAGAGCCAAAAGCAGCTGACAGCCAGTGAGATCATCCTGGGAAAAGGTGTGGCAGTGGAAGGTGAGTCGGGGAGGGGTTTGGAGGAAAATGGATTATGTGGACATTGGACTGTTTATCAGGAAAGGGCTCCAAAAAGGGATGGTGTGGGCAAAGAGGACAGAGGAAGGGAAAGTTACCAGTTTGGGACTACAGTTCCAATAATAATAATAATAATAATAATAACCATCTGTCAGCTGCAAAAGGCCACCCCTACTGGGATCTGCACGCATTATTCGCCGATACATGACACAGTCCTAGACACTTCGGAAGTGTCCGATGTGTGATCCAATACAACAGCCGGCAGAGTGACCTTGTTTGCTGTGTACTGATCTTGTTGTGTTTCTAATAATAATAATATTAATAATAATAATAATAATAATAAACTTTATTTCTACCCCGCTCCATCTCCCCGATGGGGACTCGGTGCGGCTTACATGAGGCCAAGCCCACAACAACAATTACATGAAATAAAACAAAACCGAAAATGCAAATAATAAACAATAATAACGCAATTACATAAAACAAAAGACAACATAGCAATATAAAATTACAATAAACACAATCACAAAAACATGGGTGAGCTACATGTAATGGATAAAAGAAAACTGGGTAGAAACAGATTAAAAACTCAGGTGAGATAAACACGAGATAAACAAGGACAGATTTGTGGAGGAGAACTCGTTTTAGTGGAGGTTGTGAAGCAAAGCTTTCCTATGGGGGCAATGCACTCCAATAACAGAACCATTAAAACTATGATAATAAGCTGACACAATATGAGGATTTAAAGATCGAACAGCAAACGCTCTGGCACAAGCCAGTAAAGGTGGTCCCAGTGGTGACTGCACACTGGGTGCAGTGACTGAAGATCTAAGCCTGCATGTAAACACAATTGGTGCTGACAAAATTACCATCTGCCAGCTGCAAAATGCCACCCTACTGAGATCTGCACGCATTATTCTCCGATACATCACACAGTCCTAGACTTTGGGAAGTGACAGGCTGAGCTTCTTGTATGCTTCTGCCAAGGTGTTTAGAGTAGCTTATAGGTCTTCTTCTGAATGCCCACAGACGAAGTTGTCACCAGCATACTGGAGTTCTATAATAGATGTTGTTGTAACCTTGGTTTTGGCTTTCAGTCTGCTGAGGTTAAATAGCTTGCCATCTGTCTGATAGATGATTTCCACTCCGGTGGGAAGCTTCCCGTCAACAAGATGAAGTATCATAGAGATTAAGATGGAGAATAAAATTGGGGCAATAACACGTCCCTGTTTGACATCCGATTCCACCTTAAATTGGTCACTTTGGGAGCCATTGCTGTCCAAGACTGTTGCCACCATGTTATCATGGAGGAGCCGCAGGATGTTCACAAATTTGTTAGGGCGTCCGATTTTTTGGAGGATGGTTCAGAGAGCGCTGCGATTCACTGTGTTGAATGCCTTTGCAAGGTCAATGAATGCCATGTACAGAGGTTGATTTTGTTCCCTGCATTTTTCTTGGAGCTGTCGTGCAGTGAAGATCATGTCCACTGTTCCTCTGGAGAAGCGTAATGCACACAGTGGTGTTACAGGGATGTCGGGGAATGGTGAGAATTGTGTGCATTATAGATATTAGAGTGCTATGTGGCACCTTCACCTTTAAAAATAGGCTTATGGCACTGGATTAGAAGAAAACTGTATTGTCGAAGGCTTTCATGGCCGGAATCACTGAGGATGCTTGCCATAGATGCAGGCGAAATGTCAGGAGAGAATGCCTCTCGACCAGGAGTCCTCAAACTAAGGCCCGAGGGCCAAATACGGCCCTCCAAGGTCATTTACCTGGTCCTTGCTCAGGGTCAACCTAAGTCTGAAATGACTTGAAAACAATCAACCACAACAACAACAACAACAACCTTATCTCATCAGTCAAAAGCAATCCCATACTTCCTACTGAAATACTAATAAGTTTATATGTGTTTAAATTGTTCTTCATTTTAATTATTGTATTGTTTTAAGTGTTTTTTTGCACTAAAAATAAGATATGTGCATTGCGCATAGGAGTTGATTCATTTTTTTTTTCAAATTATAATCCGGACCTCCAACAGTATGAGGGACTGTGACCTGGCCCTCTGTTTAAAAAGTTTGAGGACCCCTGCTCTAGACCATGGCCATATAGAAGAGGACTGTTTTTCATAGATCACAAAAGTAGTGTTAAGGAAGTATTTGAACATAGATCGGGCAGTGTGCTCAAAAGAAAATAGCGCAGACACCTAATTTGTTTCCCCCCCTGTTTGATTTTTACAGAGACAACTACACCTGCAACAGGAGCTGGAAGTGTGACAGTGGAAAAAGAATTGCACCAGAAAGGAGGGAAGTTTTCAGTCCTGAAAAACAGTGTCTTAAGGGCAAAGGAGCCAGCTCATTTTGACAGCCAAAGCCTGGGAAAAGGGGTTGTGACCAAGAAAGAGGAACTGCCCAAAGTTGGGAAGAAGGTGCTGGGCACAAAGAAAAATGAAGCCAAGAGTATTCCTGCTAGAGCGGAAACCATGGGTTTTGGCACAAACACCAGCCTAAGCCAGGCAGGGGGTAAGTACTCCCAAAGAAATGTGGGAATAAGGGAATAGAGGTAAACCTATCAAGAGGTAAGCAGCCCTGCTTCCATATTTTAAACTTTGAATTCCAATTGTTGTCACCAACCTCAAACTTGTTAATTCAGGAGGAAGTCAATTAAACTGTCTGGATGTTACTTCTGAGTAACTGCCCCTAAACTCTTCTTGCTAACTTGATTTAAAGAGATGGTTTGGGATTAATTAATTAATTAATAATTTTGATTATATGAGCATTGATCTCTGTGTTGGAAAGATTGGATTTGGTTTTACTTAGAACTAGAGTTGCACAATGAATGACACATTGTCATTTTAAATGCATGAAAAACTACGAATCCTCCCCTAACCTAGAACTGGTAGATAACTAGTTACAAACAATGAATTGTTATGTGTCATCATGTCAACTCCAATAACATAAATAAATAAATAAACAAACAAACTCCAACTTATGGCAACCGTCTAATAGGCTTCTCTTGGAAAGAATTATTAAGAGGTGGTTTGCCATTACCTTCCTTTGAGAATATTAAGACATAAAATTCCATGTTGTACTCATCCAGAATAAGCTCTGATTAACTTTACTCAGTGCTGTGTTTATCAGGACTGTGGCACAGCTGGCTGGGAGTCAGCTACATCAAGATCACTACTGACCAAAAGGTCAGAGTTCGAAGCCAGCCCAGGTCAGAGTGAGCTACCGACCAATTTGTGTAGCTTCCTGTTGACCATTGCAGCCCGAAAGACAGTTGCATCTGTCAAGTAGAAAATTTAGGTGCCGCTTATATGGGGAGGCTAATTTTGGAGCCATAAAAATCTCCAGCAAGCATACAAAGAATGAGGAAGTACTTCATCAGTGTCACAAATGGACGGTGAAGCGACAGCTCCCCTGGTGGCCATAATACCCTCTTGAAAGCTGGAAAGTTAAATAGCCTCTGTGTGTCTGTCTATATATGTTGTGTGTCTATGGCATTGAATGTTTGCCATGTATATGTACCGGATATTCTGGTGTATAATTTATTTATTTATTTGGAATGCGTCTACCCCGCCCTTCTCAACCCCCTAGGGGGGACTCAGGGCAGCTTACAAAAAAGCACAATTTGATGCCCAACAATTCACAAAGTACAATATACAATTTACAATTTAACATCAACAATTGTCACTACTAAGACTACTTTTTAACCCAAGAAAATCTTATCAAAAGTCAGGGGTCATCTTATATTCAGGAGTCATCTTATGCACAGGAGTCATCTTATACGCTGGAGTAGCCTTATGCATGGGAGTTGTCTTATATGCGGGAATAGTCTTATACGCTGGGAGTCGTCTTATAGAGCAGGTGCTGAAATATCCAATCCAGATTGGAGAATCTATGGTTGCTGCATATTGTGGGGGTAGTTCAAAAATGGCAGTGGCCATGTGCCTGCCATATGCAGTGACTGTAAGAAATCATTAAGGGCGACGCTGTACAAGTACGGTAGAAGAAAATCCATTCATCAGGATTCGTGGACTTGATGCGGTCTCGATGGTGAGATGAAGGGGCGTCTCACCGGGAAGGTGTAAGTGAAGGGCAGAGCAAGCTGCAGGTGTCCGGGGCACCTGGGGTATGGAAAAAAGAGATAGAGTGGCTCTGGGCCCAGAAAAACACACCTCTTTTACCTGTCTGGCCCGCCCTAGTATACTATTACCGTACCTCCTCCTCTGCCTCCCAGATCTTGCTCCTGAAGATGGCAGTGAAGTGGTCCAGGTGCGCATGTGCGAGATCTGAGAGGCAGAGAAGGAGGTACAGTAATAGGAAAATTACCATATTGAAATCAAATCAGATGCTTTTAAAAAATTTATTTGGTGTGTGTTGGAAGAGGGGTAGTTTATACAGCTAGTATATCCCAAACTCTATATTTTAACTGGAAAGTTTGGGGGTCGTCTTATACGCCCAGTCGTCTTATATGCCGGAATATACGGTACATTTTAATCCACCCTGAGTCCCCTGTGGGGTGAGAAGGGCAGAATATAAATACTGTAAATCAGGGGTCCTCAAACTTTTTAAACAGAGGGCCAGGTCACCGTCCCTCAAAGTGTTGGTGGGCCGAACTATAATTTGAAAAAAAAAACACACCATAATTTAAATTCCTATGCACACTGCATATATCTTATTTGTAGTGCAAAACACTTAAAAACAACACAACAATTAAAATGATGAACAATTTTAATAAATATAAACTTACTAGTATTTCAATGGGAAGTGTGGGCCTGCTTTTGGTTGATGAGATAGGATTGTTGTTGTTGTTGTTGTGTGCTTTCAAGTCGTTTTAGACTTAGGTTGACCGTGAGCAAGGGCCGGGTAAATGAGCTTGGAGGGCCGTATCCGGCCCTGGGCCTTAGTTTGAGGACCTCTGCTGTAAATAGATATATAAATCAGTTTTGGATTGGTTCCATGTTGACTGGGAAGTGGGGTGTCCAGTAGGTATCTGGGGGTGTCTCTCCATTGTTTACTTTCTATCCCTGCAGGTTTGATTCATCAGGCCAAGAAAACAGCGCTGAAAGGAGAGGTTGCCTCCCACAGGACAAAGGCAAGAAAAGAATATGCTGCCACCACACATAGAAATGCAACTAAGTCACAGAAAGGGAAAGTATCAGGCTTTCTGCACAGGAATGAAAGCCAAGCACTCTCTAGTCCTGCTCATAAAAACGTTGTTCACCTAAAAGACAGAAAGAAACCCACGTTTCTGCACAGAAATGCCACCTGGACCTTGTTGCAAAAAGAGAACCTTTCACCCCTAAAGAATACCAGTAAGATGTCATCAGGGAAGGATCATCTTACTCGCCACAGAAATAACAGCCACACTTTGAGGCAGAAGGACCGTAACATTCCTACAAAAAACAACACTCAGGCACAAAGGGCCAAAGAGGTTAAGTTTCTCCACAAAAATGCCAGCCTGCCAGGGAAAGACAATGGTGTACCTTCCGTGAACACCAGTGCGACATTGCCAAGGCTAAAGCAGGGCATCTTCCAGAGGAATGCCAGCCAAGCACAAACACACAAGAAGTCTATTCTCACTCACAAAAATGCAAGTCAGGCACTACCAGAGAAAAAACATGGCACCGTTTACAAGAATATGAGCTGGGTCGAAGCCAAAAAGGAGCCAATTCCTTTCCAGAAGAATGCCAGCTGGACACGACCACAGGAAAGGTCCAGGCCTTCACTTGGGAATGCCAGCCAGGCATTTCCAAGGAAAGGACATGCTACCCACCAAAGGAATATCAGTTGGACTGAGGTCAATAAGGAGCACAGGCCTCTGCACAAGAATGCTAGTCGGGGTCTGTTGAGGAAGGGGTCCAGCCCTTCCCAGAAAAATCTCAGCCAGGAATTGGCAAGGAGAGAACATCAGGTTCCTCAGAGGGTAGGCAGCCAAGCGGGGGCAAAGAATGTGTCTGGTGCCCCTTCCAGGAATACCACCCAAAGACAAACTCTAGTGAAAGAACAAGGACGATCTCGTCAGAACAGCTTCCGAGTTGGAGCGGTCACACCAAGATGGCGACTCACAGTACCAACAGGGAGGGATGAGCCTGTGATGCCGTCCTTGCCGATGACCTGTCTGCTTTCCGAACATGCCATTGCTTGTGGCAATGCCCGCCTGAAACACATACCCAAACTGAATGACTCCGCACTCAAAACCTTGTACCTTGCAGGTGAATCTCGGAGGGATTGAAGGGGATCTCCAAACTACCCTTCTTCCATTTCCTGATTTTGGCATGCTGTCTGGCTGCAGTAAGAGGGCAATCCTGTTCAGGTTTAGACAGAAATAATCCAATTTCAACACCAGTTATTCCTAGGTTAAGGTGGAACAGATGCTAGCCTTTTCCAAATATCACTCTGGAGTCTCCCTTGCATATGTAGAATTCACATATTAGGGCAAGGATAGGAATCCCTCAACCTTCCTGATGTCAACAGCAACAGCAAAAGAAGAAGATAGAACACTAGATGTCCACATGACCCACCACCCTAATCTAATAATAATAATAATAATAATAATAATAATAATAATAATAATAATAATAATAATAATAATAAAACATTATTTATACCCCACCACCATCTCCACCATCTTGGAGTGGCTTACATGGGGCCAAGCCTGAACAACAAATTACAATACAAAAATACAAATTGCAATAAAATAAACAACATAACAATAAAGTAGGGAATAATCTGGATTCAACTAAATCCAAAAGTGCAAATATTATTATTAATTATTATTTACAGTATTTATATACTGCTTTTCTCACCCCTAGGGGGACTCGAAGCAATTTACACATAGGTAATGGCAAAAATTCGATGCCTTACAACTACAATAGTAAAACCACACTTTAAACATAAATCATATTAAAAAGAGTACATCATCAAATATCAAAACAGTTATTAAAACCATAAAACAATCTCATCAGTCGAGTCGCCGTTCCAGTCCTTGTCCCACTAAAAGCTGCATACATCTACTGTCCGAAGGCCTGGTCCCAGAACCATGATTTTAATTTTTTTTCTAAAGGTCAGGAGCGAGGGAGCAGATCTTTCTTCCTTTGGGAGTGTGTTCCATAGGCGGGGGGCCACAGCCAAGAAGGCCCTGGTCCTTGTCTCCGCCAGCCGCATTTGCGCTGTTGATGGGAGCGAGAGCAGGACCACCCCGGATTATCTTAAATTGTGAGGTGGGACATAGGGACAGATGCGTTTGGAATATCCACTAGCTTTCAAGGCCTCTTGTGAATAAAACTGACAGTGCAGGTCACACTACCACGTAAAATCCAGATTATTAGTTTTGAACTGGATTATGTGGCAGCATAGACTCATATAATCCAGTTCAAACCAGATAATGTGGATTATGTGCTTTTATATGGCATTGCAGAAGGGGGCATAGTTTGATCGATCAGAGTCTCAAGATGATAGCAAACTTTATTTTGTGTAGGATTGATCCATTTCTTTGCTTTATTTGCCTACAAGCTCCTTAGACAAAATTTAACTGGAGCAGAAATACTGTATATTCTGGCATATAAGACTTTTTAACCCCAAAAATCTCAAAAGTCAGGGGTCATCTTATACACGGGGGTCATTTTATATGCAGGAGTAGTCATACATGGGAGTCGTCTTATATGCTGGCGTAGTCTTATGCATGGGAGTTGTCTTATATGCAGGAGTCAACTTATAGAGTGGGTGCTGAAACTTCCAATCCAGATTGGAGAATCTGTGGTTGCTGCATATTGTGGGGGGAGCTCAAAATTGGCAGTGGCCGCATCCCTGCTGTATGCAGGAACTGTATGAAAGCATTAAGGGCGAAGCTGTACAAGTACGGTAGAAGAAAATCCATTCATCAGGATTCGTGGACTTAATGCGGTCCCGATGGTGAGGTGAAGGGGTGCCTCACCGGAAAAGTGTAAGTGAAGGGTGGAGCAAGCTGCAGGCGTCTGGGGCACCCGGGGTATGGAAAAAAGAGATAGAGTGGCTCTGGGCTCAGAAAAACACACCTCTTTTACCTATCTGGCCCGCCGTTGTATCCTATTACCGTACCTCCTCCTCTGCCTCTCAGATCTCGCTCCTGAAGAATGCAGTGAAGTGGTGCAGGTGCGCATGTGCGAGATCTGAGAGGCAGAGAAGGAGGTACAGTAATAGGAAAATTACCATATTGAAATCAAATCTGATGTTTTTAAAATTTTATTTGGTGTGCGTTGGAAGAAGGGTTGTCTTATACAGCGAGTATATCCCAAACTCTATATTTTAACTGGAAAAGTTGGGGGTCGTCTTATACACCCAGCTGTCTTATATGCCGGAAAATACGGTACTAAAAATTAACTTACAGCAATAGTTTTCCATGTCAGGCAGCCAAATATGATAGGCTCTTTGGAATAATCTATGAACTATGATATTAACTTTAAAATAGGCTCTATTATTTGACTGGTGGTACTGGCTAAGAATGATGGGAACTACAGCTCAATACATTCAAAGGGCACAGAATTAAGAAGGCTAGTCTAAAGCAGGTTTTTGAACTTTATATCCCAGAAACCTCAGTCAATGGTCAGAGATTCTCAGAAATGAAGTCCAAAACACCTGGAGGACCAGATTTTGAGAATCACTGGTCTAACAGGTTAAACAAATCAATATAAATGTTAGAAGACATTTATGCCACTTAGAAGCAAACTACCCGCTAACAATCAAATCCAAAAGACCAATGTGTTCTCTCTTTTTTCAGAAGAAAAAAACTTTAATTTTAAAGAACATTTGAGTTTATGTTAACTTTGCATCTCAGTTGTGTACTGTTATTTACTCACCTCTGGTAAAATAGGGCTTTTGAATCAGGAAAAACAGTGCAAAGAAAGAGTTCTGCTCTCATGCCAGAAAGATCTTCCATGTTTATCTATACAAATAAAAATGTAATGTTCGTTTGTGGGATTAACAAAACTCAAAAACCACTGGATGAATTAACACCAAATTTGGACACAATACACCTATCAGGCCAATGAGTGACCATCACTCATAAAAACACTGAAAAACACAGTGGAAGAGACTTAAAAAGCAAAAAACAAACAAAACATTACAATGCATGTGCAAAACCACATATATACACACATACACAAAACACATATACACAGACTGGGCCACAGCAACGTGTGGCAGGGGATGGCTAGTGTGTAATATGGAAGGACCTTTGCAATTCTATGATTTTGATCAAGATCCCAGAAACAGAAGCAGCCTAGTTTTGGTTCTCAATGTGACCAGTAGAGATAATGGGAATTGTAGTCAGCTTTGAAAGACTATGGAGGATGAAAGCATAAATTAGTCTGAGGCCCCCTCAACACTGCCCTATAAAATCCAGATTATCTGCCTTGAATTGGATTATATGGCCGTGTAGACTGATATAATGCAGTTCAAATCAGATAACGTGGATTACCTGCTTTGAAAATCTGAATTATATGGCAGTGTAGAAGGGGACTCAGTCTTTGTGTTGCCACTACAAAAACATAGTTCAAGAGGAGTTCATTCTGCATTCCTCTTCCTCATAAGTGTATTCACCTTCCTGATAATCCTCTTCAGATTCATTCCTGCTTTTTCCTCTGTGCTTTCTAGAGAATGAAATTACCAATATCCCAGCTGGGATTTTCTTGGGATTGCCCAATCTGGAATGGCTGGATCTCAGCAAGAACAAGCTGGATTCTGCAGGTTTGCACCCAGAAGTATTCAAGGTCAGTGGAGAATATTCTCCTGCCAGTAAGCTTTAGAGTTAGAGAGGAGGGCTAGAAGCAACTGAAGTTGAGGCGAGCTGCATGGGAAGGAGATAAACAGGAAAAGCCTATTATTATTATTTGAAACACAACAAGATGAGTCCACAGCAGACAAGATCACTTTGCTGGCTGTTGTATTGGATCACATGTCAGACATTTCCCAAGTGTCTAGGACTGTGTGATGTATCAGCAAATAATACCTGCAGATCCCACTAAGGTGGCCTTCTGCAGCTGGTGGATGGTAATTTTGTCAATGCCGATTGTGTTTAAGTGCAGGCCAAGGTCTTTAGGCACTGCACCCAGTGTGCCAATCACTACTGGGACCACCTTGACTGGCTTGTGCCAGAGTCTTTGCAGTTCGATCTTTAAATCCTCATATCGTGTCACCTTTTCCAGTTGTTTCTCTTCAATCTTGTTGTTGCCTGGGATTGCAACATCAACAATCCATACTTTGTTTTTTAACATGATTGTGTGGTTAGGAGTATTGTGCTCCAAAACTGTGCCAGTCTGAATTCGGAAGTCCCAGAGTATTATTATTATTATTATTAGAAACACAACAAGATTAGTACAGAGCAAACAAGATCATGCTGACCAGGCGTAGCCAGGATTTTGATTGGGGGGGGGGGGGGCTGAGTTTGATTCGGGGGACGGACGGGGGGGTTTGAGGGGGGCTGAGTTTGTTGGGGGTGGGTTGGTTCGGGGGGGCTGAGTTTGTCTCGGGGGGGTGATTTTGGTTTGGGGGGATGAGCTTGGTCAGGAGGGCTGAGTTTGGTTTGGGGGGGCTGAATTTGGTTTGGGGGCTGAGTTTGGTTTGGGGGCTGAGTTTGGTTCGGGGGGCTGAGTTTGGTTCGGGGGGCTGAGTTTGGTTCGGGGGGATGAGCTTGGTTCAGGAGGGCTGAGTTTGGTTTGGGGGGGCTGAATTTGGTTTGGGGGCTGAGTTTGGTTTGGGGGCTGAGTTTGGTTCGGGGGGCTGAGTTTGGTTCGGGGGGCTGAGTTTGGTTCGGGGGGCTGAGTTTGGTTTGTGGGGCTGAGTTTGGTTTGTGGGGCTGAGTTTGGTTCAGGGGGATGAGCTTGGTTCGGGGGGGCTGAGTTTGGCTCAGTGGGGCTGAGTTTGGTGGGGGGGGGCTGAGTTTGGCTCGGGGGGGGGGGGAGGGATCTACCCTAGCAAACCTTTTGTATCATTATCCCAATCCCCCCATGCATATGGGATATATTGAGCATGGTGATCAGATCATGATATGAATAAACATAACAGTTTAAATAATGTACCAGTAAGGCCTTCTCGCGGACCACCCTGAGAATTTCGAGGGGGGGTGAAGCCCCTCAAGCCCCCCCCCCCCCCGTGACAGGCCTGATGCTGGCTGTTGTATTGGATCACACGTCAGACACTTCCCAAGTGTCTAGGACTGTGTGATGTATTGGCGAATAATGCATGCAGATCCGAGTAGGGTGGCCTTTTGCAGCTGACATCATCATCATCATCTTATTATTATTATTATTATTATTATATTTATTTATATCTCACTTTTTCTCTCCACAAAGGAGACTCAAAATGGCTAGTTGTTTAAAAATATATAAACATTCTGTTGAATTACAGCATAAGTATTTTATAGACAGTCACATATAGGTATCATCCCCTCTGTGTTACCCAGTGTAGTCTGCAGCCCTCACCTTGTTCTTCATCAAAATGTAAAGCTGCTTATCCACATGTGTTCTAATTTTCATCTGTGAAATGCTGGAGAATATTTGAGACAGTGGTATCTGAATAACTGTAAACGCTTATCAGAATTAACCAGGATTGCCATCTTCTCCCCATGTAGAACCTCACCAAGCTGAAGCGTCTGAATCTAGATGGGAACCAGCTTACCACAGTCCCAGCCTTACCTAGTTCATTACAGGAATTAAAGATGAATGACAATAATTTAGAACGTCTGCAGAGACACGACTTTCAAGGTATGTAAACTCTCTTGTTTTTTAGAACACCCTTCCTGGAATGGGAATATGTATGTTTTCCCTCTGATGGACCATTCTTCGGTGCCAGGACTTTTCTATACACAAGGTGGCACCCTATTAATTTAGCTTTCTAACACGTGCAATTCTGACATAAACTGGTCATGGGGTATATCCTGTGTTTCTTACAGCAGAATGCACAAGATGAGGAACAGATATTATTTATAGTGGCATCAAAGTTGTCATAGTCGTCCTATGCATGTGGGCATCATTGGGGAATCATTGGGGTGTTGTGTGGTTCCTGGATTTTTATTTTTTTTTTGTCGTGTCAGGAGCGACTTGAGAAACTGCAAGTCGCTTCTGGTGTGAGAAAATTGGCCGTCTGCAAGGACGTTGCCCAGGGGACGCCTGGATGATTTGATGTTTTTTATCATCCTTGTGGGAGGCTTCTCTCATGTCCCCGTATGAGGAGCTGGAGCTGATAGAGGGGGCTCATCCGCCTCTCCCCAGATTCGAACCTGTGACCTGTCGGTCTTCAGTCCTGCCGGCACAGGGGTTTAACCCACTGCGCTACTGGGGGCTCTTGGCTGTAAGGCCATGTTCTAGCAACATATTCTCCTGACTTTTCTCCTGCATCTGTGGCTGACATCTTCAGAGGATGCTCCGAAGATATCAGCCACAGATGCAAGTGTAACATCAGGAGAAAATGCTGCTAGAACATGGCCATAGAGCCCAGAAACCACACAACACCCCAACAAGTTAAAATAGCCTGGAAGCATTCAATTAGCTTCATTTTTTTCTCCAGAGATCAATTATTTGATTACATTTGATGCAATGTTTGTTTTAACTGTGTGCTGTATACTCAGATCTTCACATTTGTTGGTTTAATTTTTGAAGATCTGATTATCCATAAATTTGATTAATTTGTTATCTCTAGGAATCTCTTGGTCCTCCTCTGTGATTCTGTAGTCAGGAGGATCTAGAGCAGGCATGGGCAAATTTCAGCCCTCCAGGTGTTTTGGACTTCTACTCCAAAAGTTAGGAATTGTGGGAGTTAGGAATTGTGGGAGTTGAAGTCCAAAACACTCAGAGGGTCGAAGTTTGCCCATTTAAAAAAGTTTTCTTTTTTAAAAAAGGTTTTCTAAATTGCATTTTCCCGACATTTCCTGTATTTCAATTCCTGCAAAAGTAGAAGGTCTACTATATTACAATGTTTTCATTGCAAGAAGATGCCCAGATATTTTAATGCATCCAGAGTTTGTTTTGTCAACAGCTGATTTTTTGTAATTTTGTTTTATTTTTAACTAGCCGTCCCCTGCCACGCGTTGCTGTGGCCCAGTCTAGTGATCTGGAAAATAAAGTAATGGTTTCTAATATATGTAATTTCTTAATGCTTGTGGGTAAACAGTACTTATTGTTGTTTCTTTGTCAGCATTGATGTAGAGATTGTCTGGTTTGCCTATGCTGGATCATGGAACATATTATTGTCTTTCTTTAGGGTCCCTTTCAAATCTATGATATTATATCTGTCTGTCTCTGTGTGTGTGAATCATATATATCTATCTATATCTGCCAACCTAGCAGTTCAAAAACATGCAGATGTGAGTAGATCAATAGGTACTGCTCCAGCAGGAAGCTAACAGTGCTCTATGAAGTCATGCTGGCCACATGACCTTGGAAGTGTCTACGGACAACACCGGTTCTTCGGCTTTGAAATTGAGATGAGCATCACGTCCCAGAGTCGGACATGACTGGACTAAATGTCAGGGGAAAACCTTTACCTTTATCTATGGCTGGGTGGCTCTTTGTTAGGAGAGATTTGATTATATTTTCTTGCCCTGGTGAAGGGAGTTGGACTGGATGGCCTTAATGCAGCATTTCTCAACCTGGGGGTTGGGACCCCTAGGGGGGTCATGATGGGGTGTCAGAAGGGTTGCCAAAGACCACCAGAAAACACAGTATTTTCTGTTGGTCATGGGGGTTCTGTGTGGGAGGTTTGGCCCAATTCTATCATTGGTGGGGTTCAGAATGCTTTTTGATTATTGGTGAACTATAAATTCCAGTTACTACAACTTCCAAATGTCAAGGTCTATTTTCCCCAAACACCACCAGTGTTCACATTTCGACATATGGAGTATTTGTGCCAAGTTTGGTTGAGGTTCTTCATTGTTTGAGTCCAAACTCCCAAACTCAAGGTCAATGCCCACCAAACCCTTCTAGAATTTTCTTTTGGTTGTGGGAGTCCTATGTGCCAAGTTTGGTTCAATTCCATCACTGGTGGGATTCAGAATGCTCTTTGATTGTAGGTGAACTGTAAATCCCAGTAACTATAACTCCCAAATGACAAAATCCATTTTTTGAGTGATGGTCATTCCTTGGGGTAGTAGGTGTATTGTGTCCAAATTTGGTGGCAATTTGTCCAGTAGTTTTTGAGTTATGCTAATCCCACAAACTAACATTACATTTTTATTTATATAGATATATTAGTAGCAAAAGCCTTATGCTGTTCCACTCTCAGTAGCTTAATGTGGATCAGTCTGGACTGAAATCAGAGATCATATATTAGTCTAGCCTTTTATTCATTTATCGATGGCAGGGCAACATGTCCCTACAACTCTCTCCATTGGCTGTATGAACTAAGGCTGCCAAAATTTACAGGCCAAAAACATCTGGAGAACCACAGCTGCCCCATTCCCTGCTGTATGAGGATGGATGGATGTGTGGGTTGCTTCCTGTGCAACTTGTTAGCAACTGATAAATGGTGTGTAAACAGGAAACTGAAAGTACACACTGGGCTAGTTATGAGCAAGCCTTGTTCTGAATACACTCAACAGAGAACCTTTGTTTCTAATACTCCCTCTGAGGATCTGCTGGTGGCCACTGGAAGGAAATGTGAAAATTGAGCTGACTTGCTGGTTTTTAGTTAGTTCTCTGTTGCCCTGAGTATCAGCTGCTCTGATACAAGTTAGGGGGTGTTTTTGAATAATTGAGTTGCCTGCTTTCCCCACTTTGCATCTGTGTATTTCCTAGACCAGTAGAAATTCAACAGGTGAAGCTTTTTCCTAACTGTATTGTCGAAGGCTTTCATGGCCAGAATCACTGGGTTGTTGTAGGGGGTTTTTTTGGGCTATATGGCCATGTTCTAGAGCAGGGCCCCCCAAACTTTTTAAACGGGTCACAGTCCCTCAAACTGTTGGAGGGCCGGATTATAATTTGGAAAAAAAACATGAATGAATTCCTATGCACACTGCACATATCTTATTTGTAGTGCAAAAACCACTTAAAACAATACAATAATTAAAATGAAGAACAATTTTAACAAATATAAGTTTAGAATAAATATAAACCTAGCAGTTTGAAAACATGCAAATGTGAGTAGATCAATAGGTACCGCTCCGGCAGGAAGGTAACGGCACTCCATGCAGTCATGCCGGCCACATGACCTTGGAGGTGTCTATGGACAACTGGCTCTTCGGCTTAGAAATGGAGATGAGCAGCAGAGTCCCAGAGTCGGACATGGCTGGATTTAAGACCTCCCCCCCCCCCTTCTCCTGCCTCCGGGATGCGGCGAGGCGGCATCCCGAAGGGAGGAGAGGCTGGGCCCACGGAGGCGGCGGGCCAAGCAGGCCCAAGCCGCTTGGCCCGCCGCCTCCCCCCCTCCTTCCTCGGTGCATCCAGTGCACCCCGAAGGGAGGAGAGGCTGGGCCCACGGAGGCGGCGGGCCAAGCAAGCCCAAGCTGCTTGGCCCACCGCCTCCCCCCCTCCTTCCTCTGGGATGCAGCCAGGACGCATCCCGAAGGGAGGAGAGGCTGGCCCACGGAGGCGACGGGCCAAGCCGCCTCCCCCTCTTCGCCCTCCGCCTCCCTCCCCCTTCGCCCGCCTCTCACCCTTTTCCACAGCCGCGGGCCGGATAGATGCCCTTGGGGGGGCAGATCCGGCCCGCGGGCCGTAGTTTGGGGACCCCTGTTCTAGAGGTATTCTCTTCTGACATTTCGCCTGTATCTATGGCAAGCATCCTCAGAGGTAGGGAGGTGCCTCACTACCCCTGAGGATGCTTGCCATAGATGCAGGCGAAACATCAGGAGAGAATGCCTCTAGAACATGGCCATATAGCCCGAAAAAACCTACAACAACCCACTTTTTCCCAACTCTTTACTAAATTAATTTCAAGGAAAAGTTGAAGGGTATAAGAACAGGACTAGTAAGGGGGTGATGGATTTTGTACACCTTGAACTGAAATATGCTTTTGATTGGGTAGCTCAGGTCCCATCTACACTGCCATATAATCCAGTTTCTGAATTCAGATGATCTGCTTTGAACTGGAAGCGAAGCGAAGCACATGCTTTGAACTGGATTTTATGGCAGTGTAGAATCACATAATCTAGTTCAAAGCAGATCATCTGCATTTAGAAACTGGATTATCGGTAACTCTAAAAGCATAATTGAACTCTTGAATTGGAAATCATTGCACAATGTAATTGAAAAAGGAGTTTATTAATGGATATTTGTCAACAAGAAAAAAATTGTTTTTCAATCAGTTCTGGGAGACCCCAGGAGAAATCAAGGGCTGGAGTTCATGCATTTTCAACCTATCTGGAGTCAGCTCCCCAAAATGCAGCATCTCAAGTCAAAAGGTGTAATAATAATAATAATAATAATAATAATAATAATAATAATAATTTATTTGTACCCCGCTACCATCTCCCCAAGGGACTAGGTGCGGCTTACATGAGGCCAAGCCCGCAATAAATCAATAAAACGAAGGCAATAACAAAATAATCAATACAAAACAGTAAAATAAATCTCAAAACAAAAATTAACAATAACATACAAGCATTTAAAAACCTATGTTCATTTTACTCTCTTGAAAAGAACTCCATGCCACTAAAATAGCAATGAACTTGGTAAAATTGTTCTCAAATGAAGTCGGATTTGGTCATGGTGGTCTACACCTTAGTTACCCCCTAGATTGACTATTGCAATGCGCTCTACGTGGGGCTGCCCTTGAAGACGGCCCGGAAATTCCAATTGGTCCAACAGGCGGAAGCCAGATTATTAACTGGGACGAATTACAGAGAGCGGTCAACCCTCCTGTTTAAGGAGCTCCACTGGTTGCCGTTTATTTTTCGGTCCCAATTCAAGGTGCAGGTTTTGACCTACAAAGCCCTGAACGGTTTGGGACCCGCCTACCTGCGCGACCGCATTTCCGTCTACGAACCCACACGACCTCTTCGATCTTCTGTACAGGCTCTACTCTCGCTCCCGCCCTCATCCCAAGTGCGACTTGTGGGGACGACAGAGTGGGCCTTCTCTGTGGTGGCCCCCTGGCTCTGGAATTCACTCCCCAGAGATATTAAGCAAGCCCCCACCCTGGCAATCTTCAGGAGGAGTCTGAAAACCTGGTTATTCCTATGTGCCTTCAGTGATTGAATGTAAGATACTCCCTGACCAAACTATGCATAAAATTACCACAGAAGCACTTTATTTTATGGTTCGTGCAATTAAATCCTACCTCATCCCCAGATGCCCTCCCTGATATGTTACATTGTCCTATCTCCCGATGTTTTAAAATTTTATCTTTGAATTTGGCCCTGCCCTGTGTGACCATTTGTGTTTCAATGTTTGATTTAATATTGCTGTGTCGCTTATTTATATTGGTTTTGCATCTTATGTATTTTATTTTCTGATTTTCTGCTATGCTTTTGTGTTATATTGTGTTTACTGTATTGATTGGCGTGGCCTCATGTAAGCTGCCTGAGTCCCCTTGGGGGAGATGGAGGCAGGGTATAAATAAAGTTTTATTATTATTAAATGTCTCAGGATGGAGGGTTATGGGAGTTTAAATGGTTAATACTCCCAAATTCCAGACAAGTTAAATAACCAGTCACTTGTTGGCCTTTCTTTATGCCCTGTCAGGTGTCTGGGGGGCACTTCCACTCAGCCCAGTAATCCACACCAAAGCAGGTTTTAAAAACTCACTTTGGCGTGGATTTCTGTTCCCACTCTCATAAAAAAAATCCAGGCTTTCCAGGAGGGTGGCTACATGTCATCTCATTACAATTGGGATAACATGCAGCCACCCTGAAGCCCCCCAAATGTAGCCCTAAAAAGTACTGGGGACATGAGGAGGAACGTAATGGAAGCCAGGTAAGTTTTATTTACTTTTTAGGGGTATATTTGGGGTTTGGGGAGAAGGGGTGGGTGCCCTCTTGGTTTTTCGGGCTCCTGGAGCCTGAAAAACAAAGACGGCATAGAGCCCATACCTGGTAAGAGCCAGATATTGCCATAAGATCCAGATGTTTAATAAATTTAATGTTTAATTCTGTTTTACTGGATGAGTCAATGGGACACTTCCGGAAAAGCTGAGCAGGTCCCGGTTTTTGAGTCTGTCTGAATGAGCCCTGAGCCAGTTCTCTCACTCTCTACTTAACAGTAAAGCCAACCCCACATCCCAATGTCTTAGTTTTATTGTGCTATGATGTATTGTTTTTACTGTTTACTGTTATTGCTTAATGTTTTGATTTCCTTTATGGTTTATGTGTATTGTTGTATTGTTGTTTTATTGAGGCCTTGGCCTTTGTAAGCCGCATCGAGTCCTTCGGGAGATGCTAGCGGGGTACAAATAAAGATAATAATAATAATAATAATAATAATAATAATAATAATAATAATGTCTTTTCCACTACAGTTGTAGCACTAGGTCATCTTCATGCATGGAGCTTCCACCCATTGTCAGAGGAGTGTGTTGTTAGATGTTCCCTCCAACACACACACACACACACACACACACACTTCTGTCCTGCCTTGACCTTTTCCACAGGGCTCTTCAAGCTGCTCACCCTGGAGCTGGAGGGAAACCAATTGCATGATGGAAATGTGCTCCCTACTGCCTTCAAGCCCCTTGGCAGACTCATCTATCTGCGACTGGACCGGAACCACTTCAGGGCGATCCCATCCGGTTTGCCTGCATCTTTGCAGGTGAGATGGTGGTAGTGGTGGGCAAGATCTAGCTGGCTCAGAGTCAGCGAGGTTTCTAAAATGGTGATCCTGGCAGATCAAGGGTATACTTTCAGCTAAAATAGTGAAGAGTAAATAAGACATTAATGAAGGCAAATAATAAGGCTAGCAAATGGCAACTAGCTGTGAGGTTGCTTTCAAGTTGTGATACAAAGGATAGTAGAGACTTACCTACTTTACTTACTTACTTAGGTGATCCCTCATTGGTTGAGTAGGATAGTCTTCCAGGATCAGTATTCTTGTGTCCGTAGGTGACTGTGGAGCCCTATTCTTGATCTGCATCTTCTTCCGCAGTGAGGGCATTGGTTTCCAGGTGGAAGGTGGACTCAGTCGGGGTTGGCTTGACGTGCCTTCCTCTTGGCACATTTCTCTCTTTCACCCTCCATTCGTGCCTCTTCAAATTCTGCAGCACTGCTGGTCACAGCTGACCTCCAGCTGGAGCGCTCAAGGGCCAGGGCTTCCCAGTTCTCAGTGTCTATGCCAGAGTTTTTAAGGTTGGCTTTGAGCCCATAGTAGGGAGATAGCAGAGAAAGCAGATAGTAACCACCCTGAGTCTCCCTGGGGAGAGAGGGTGGGTTATAAAATTATTATTATTATTGGGGTTTTTTGTTGTTCATTCATTCAGTCATTTCCGACTCTTCGTGATCTCATGGACCAGCCCATGCCAGAGCTCCCTGTTGGCCGTCACCACCCCCAGCTCCTTCAAGGTCAATCCAGTCACTTCAAGGATGCCATCCATCCATCTTGCCCTTGGTCGGCCCCTCTTCCATTTTCCCCAGCATCATTGTCTTCTCTCAGCTTTCCTTTCTATATATATATTCCCCAAAAACAAATATTGACTTCACATTTTATGTAAGGGGTATATATATTCCCCAAAAACAAATCTTGAGTTCACATTTGATGTAAGGGGTATTATTCTCCTAAGTCATTGTATATGGTGGAACTTCAGCATCCCTGGGTTTTGGTATCCACATGGTTCCAGGAACCAATCCCAGTGGATACAGGGAACCCACTGTGTATCCAGAAGTTAAGCTTTTAAATTTTTCTGGGATCTTTTCTGTTATTTGAAATCTGAAATGGCACCCCAGTAGCAGATTAAGTCTAACTGGACTGGGTTTACACTAATAGGGGGCTTGTTTCAATCTTTTGTGCCCTCCTTCCTTTCAGGAATCTTCTGTGGTCCACCAATGTGTTAAGATTGCAAAGTGTGGCTGACTTGTTGTTTATCCGAGTCGCTTCCGACTCTTCATGACCTCATGGACCATCCCACGCCACAGCTTCCTGTCGGCCGTCACCACCCCCAGCTCCTTCAAGGCCAGTCCAGTCATTTCAAGGATGCCATCTATCCATCTTGTTCTTGGCCAGCCCCTCTTCCTTTTTCCTTCCATTTTCCCCAGTATCATTGTCTTCTCTAAGCTTTCCTTTCTTCTCATGATGTGGCCAAAGTATTTCATTATTATTATTATTATTATTATTATTATTATTATTATTATTAAGAAGATCAAATGGCCATTCAAGCTCCAGATTTTGGAGGGAGACTATAACTCCTAATCAGTGTAGACAATTATGGGATGTATAGTCCACAAACATGCAGAGGGTGACAATTAGTGATTCTTCCTTTAATCAAGTTTCATTTGCTCGGAAAAACTCAGGGTGGTCGCATGCCCTCCCCTCCTCCTCCTCCTCCTCCTCCTCCTTCTTTGTACAAACAACAATCCCTTCTACAGCATGTTGCTATAGCATGTTTCCTTCTTTTTGAAAGGGTTTTGTATTTAAAGCCTGTTCAATCCAAAACTGGTTTATGTATGATATAAGAAAACAATTTAAATTATGATGAGAAGAGCATTGGAGTTGCCTATCAATGGTAAGGACCTTGGGGACAAAATAAACAGGCACGCCATTGATATTTTTCTCTGCCGTCATAAAAGGCCCTGTGTTTCTATTTGAAGTTATAGTAATTATGTCTAAATTTGTATCTAAACATATCAATTAGTACATTCAGTTTCCATGCACGTTTCTGTTTTATTTTGTCCTCTTTTTTCTGGCAAAGCTTTTAATCTCAACCCCGTCTGCTTTCTGAACAGTTTGCAAATGAGCAGAGGGCAAGGGCTATTGCCCTCATGTCCTGTTTCCCAGAGGCATCTGGTTGGCCCACTGTGGGGAAACAGGATGCTGGGCTTGTTCGGCAGGGGTCTTTTTAATGTCCATGACATGGACTACTTTCATCTTCTTCTTCTTTTTAGAAATGCCCCAGGCTCCAGCCCTATTTCATTTTCTGAGTGTATGAGAGATGCTAGATCTGTAAGCTACACATTTTAAAGCTTCACGGCACTTCTCTTACTTTTTTTTTTGTCGTTTTTTACTGTAAATGTTTTTTTTTGTTTTTGTTTTTTTACTGGAAATCTTGATTCTGGTGTGTAATCCAAAGAAGCAATGTTTCTACACAGTGGCCCACATAGACCCCAAATCTATCGAGAGGAGGCACGAGCTCTAAGATCTTCCAGGGAGGCCCTCCTCTCGGCCCCACTACCGTCTCAAGCGCAGTTGGTGGGGACGAGAGATAGGGCCTTCTCGGTGGTGGCCCCCTGCCTCTGGAATGCCCTTCCAAGGGAAATAAGACAGGCCCCGTCCCTCCCCTCCTTCCGTAAGAGCATGAAGGCCTTTGAGAATGACCAGTTCTAAGTCAGCCCTACACATTGTCGAATACAGCCTTATTCTTACTACCAATTACCCAGATCATTTCCTCTAATCGGCCCCGGAATGAACAGCCACAGACCCGTATCTAATATTATTGTTGCCTGCCATAGCATTGCACTTAATTCCCGGGGCCCCTAGAATTTCTGGGCATGCACAAATCTTGGCCCGGCCTTTTAAATTTTTTTAATTACCTTCAACAGGCAGGATTACTTTTAATATATGTGTGTTATGGCGACAATTTTAATGCTTATATTTTGTTTTGTTAATCTTATGGTTATGTTGTTTTTTACTTTGTATGTTTTGTGAGGTTACCTGGGAACCGCTCTGAGTCCCCTCGAGGAGATGGAGCGGTATATAAATAAAGTATTATTATTATTATTATTATTATTTAAAACTTTTTATTATATATAGAAAAAAGGATAGGGGTAGGGGATGTTTAAGAGATTTCCATGTTTGTTTGTCGTGTCAGGGCAACCAGTCGATTATATTACATTTCTAACAGAACAAAGCAAACAAACAGACAAAATACAAAATTTGTGAGTTTGGTAGTTGATTAAATGTCCTTTGACCAGTAGCTGGCCACTTGGAGTGCTTCTGGTGTTGCTGCAAGAAGGTCCTCCATTGTGCATGTGGCAGGGATCAGGTTGCATTGCAGCAGGTGGTCAGTGGTTTGCTCTTCTTCACACTCGCATGTCGTGGATTCCACTTTGTAGCCCCATTTCTGAAGGTTGCCTCTGCATCTTGTGGTGCCAGAGCGCAGTCTGTTCAGCGCCTTCCAAGTCGCCCAGTTTTCTGTGTGCCCAGGGGGGAGTCTGTCATTGGGTATCAGCCATTGGTTGAGGTTCTGGGTTTGAGCCTGCCACTTTTGGACTCTCGCTTGCTGAGATGTTCCAGCGAGTGTCTCTGTAGATCTTAGAAAACTATTTCTAGATTTAAGTCGTTGACGTGCTGGCTGATACCCAAACAGGGAATGACCTGGAGATGTCTTTGCCTTGGTCCTTTCACTATTGGCTGCTACTTCCTGGCGGATGTCAGGTGGTGCAATACTGGCTAAGCAGTGTAATTTCTCCAGTGGTGTAGGGCGCAGACACCCCGTAATAATATGGCATGTCTCATTAAGAGCCACATCCACTGTTTTAATGTGGTGAGATGTGTTCCAAACTGGGCATGCGTACTCAGCAGCAGAGTAGCACAGCACAAGGGCAGATGTCTTCACTGTATCTGGTTGTGATCCCCAGGTTGTGCCAGTCAGCTTTCGTATGATATTGTTTCTAGCACCCACTTTCTGCTTGATGTTCAGGCAGTTCTTCTTGTAGGTAAGAGCACGGGCCAGAGTGACTCCCAGATATTTTGGTGCGCTGCAATGCTCCAGTGGGGTTCCTTCCCAGGTGATCTTCAGAGCTCGGGATGCTTCTCTGTTCTTGAGATGAAAGGCACATGTCTGTGTTTTGGATGGGTTACTTTACATGTAAAGTAGGAGAACAATGGAGTGATAGGAAAGTAGGAAAAGCATGTGCAATCTATCTGAAAAATAAAAAAAATAAAAAAATATAAAAAAGTAGAAAGGGGGGGGGGAGAAGGAAAAAAGGGGGGGGAAAGGAAAAAAAGAGGGTTGTTATTATTATTATTATTATTATTATTATTATTTTAAGAAGACAGATTTAAACGGGATTCCTCTCCCACCTTCTAGGAGCTCCACCTTGATTCGAACCGCATTGAGGAAGTACCTGAAAGTATCCTCAACAAAACCCTGAATCTCACAGTGCTGGTTCTGAGCAACAACAAGCTCCAGGAAGATCGTATTGCTCCACGTGCCTGGATAGACCTCCCGTGAGTAACATTAGAGATGAAGCTGAGGATTGCTAACTAAAACTACCATCCAGCTTTCCTAATTAAACTCAAGGCATTTCTGATATAAATATAATAGTGGTGTGCCGACAAGCAGAAATTCAGACTGAAAAACCTAGAACAACCCAGAAATTCAGACGTTTATTTTTTTATTTCATATCAAAAGCATTGCACAAATTAGTATAAAACTGATAAAAATAGAAGGAGCACAAGTGGCTAAATATCTTTTGACCAAAAACGGGCAACAGCAACGGCTTTGTCTGTAGCCTCTAAGAATTCTTCCTCTGTACATGAGGCAGGGCATAGTGGACAAGCATACAGATGCGGAGTTGTCTGTTCTGCTCCACAGTCACATGAGGTGTGGGATTCTTTTAGGTAGTGCCATTTTGCCAGGCTGTCTTTTGATTTGTCCACTCCACTTCTGAGTCTGTCCAGGAACTTCCAAGTTGCCCATTCTTGGTTTGCCCCTGGAGGAAGACCCTTGTGGGGGGCCATCCATTTGGGATATCCTGGTCTAGCCTGCCAGAGGGATGCTCTTGCTGTTGTTGGGGGGACGTTAAGAGGATTGTGGTTTTCATGAAGCTTGATTTGGGTCTACTGGGAGGAGGCTGATAGCCATGCAGTGGATGGTTTTCACAGTGTTCAACCTTATTTCTCTCACATTTAGCAGCAACTTCCTGTCACACATCAGGGAAACAATGCCAGCTAGCTTGTAGAGTCTATCAACAGGTGTAGGTTTAAGACATCCTGTGATTATTCTGCATATTTCATTCAATGCTATGTTCAACTGCTTCGGAAATTAATATTGTTAACATAGATGTCAATGGCACTACCTGATGCTCCATGGATGATAAGGCTTTAGGGATTTGGCCCGAGTGAAAAAGAATAAATACTCTCTAGAAGGGCTTCTTTTAAGCATTGTATTTTTTTTCTTTTCTGGAATTATTTATTATTTATTTACCATACGTATATCCCGTCCTTCTCAACCCCAGAGAGGACTCAGGGCGGCCTTACAAGGCGACAATTCAATGCCACATGTACACATATCATTGATAAATAAACAAAAAAATTTAAAACATTAAAATTAACCAGTTAAAACATCATATTAAAACAACAATTTAAAATCACATAATCCAGGTCATAATCCAGGGCCAGACTGAATCGTCATGTTAATTTATAGTCTCTTATTGCACTGCTCCCATTACTGACCAAAGGCCTGATTCCAAAGCAATGTTTATAGGTTTTTTTTCCTGAAGGCCAGGAGGGAGGGAGCTGACCTAGTTTCACTGGGAAGGGAGTTCCATAGATGAGGGGCCACTGAGAAGGCCCTGTCTCTCGTCCTCCCCAATTGTACTTGCGAGGGGGGTGAGACTGAGAGCAAGGCCTCCCCCAACGATCTTAGCCTCTAAGGTTGCTTCTATCTCTTTTGGAAAGGTCGCAATGCCTTTCAAGAGACACAAGCAGGCTAATTCCAGAAAGAAAAATGGAAATAATGTTAATGAGCAACCAGGCCCGTAGCCAGGATTTCGTTTCGGGTGGGGGGGGGGCTGATTTTTTTTCAGGGGGGGTTTCAGGGGGGCTGAGTTTGGGGGGGGGCTGAGTCTGAGTGAAAGAGGGTCTAGCCTAGCAAACCTTTTGTATCATTACCCCAATACCCCCATGCATATGGGATATATTGAGTTTGGTGATCAGATCATGATATGAATAAACATAACAGTTTAAATAATGCACCAGTAAGGCCTTTTCGCGAACCACCATGAGAATTTGGGGGGGGGGGGCTGAAGCCCCCAAGCCCCCCCCCCCCCCCGGGCTACATGCCTGTGAGCAACAAGCCAATCCTAATAAATGGACCAAATTCAAAAGAAGATAGGACTCCTGAATATTAATACTTCAGGCCGGGAAGAGAATCAACATGGTATAGTGGTTTGAATGGGTTCGTATCCACTTTCAGCCATGTAAATTTACTCTGTACGATGGCATAGATGTTTACGGCATGATAAAACTAAAGCGACTGTGGATTTTAATCATTTTGTAAGATGAACAGTGTTTACCAGGATTATGCTCCTAGATGCCTTTATGGGTCTCAACGCAAGGGTTTTATAGAAAAGAGACAAAATAATAATAATAATAATAATAATAATAATAATAATAATAATACTTTATATCCCACCACCATCTCCCCAAGGCAGGCCAGGATTTTGATTCGGAGGGGTGGGTGGGTCTGAGTTTGATTCAGGGGAGAGGATGAGTCTGAGTGAAAGAGGGTCGACCCTAGCAAACCTTTGTATCGTTACCCCAATACCCCCATGCATATGGGATATATTGAGCATGGTGATCAGATCATGTTATGAATAAACATAACAGTTTAAATAATGCACCAGTAAGGCCTTTTCGCGAACCACCACGAGAATTTGGGGGGGGGGGGCAAGCCCCCCAAGCCCCCCCCCCCCGGCTACATGCCTGCCCCAAGGGGACTCGGAGCGGCTTACATGAGGCCAAGCCCAACAACACATCAGTAAAAACAACAAAGCAATAAGCAAATAAAACAATAAAATTAATATAACTCACATATAGACAATAACACACAAAAATTTAAAAAACCAATGGCCGGGCCAGATGTAATAGTTTTAATTTTTTTTAAAAATAAATAGGCAAGGAAATCCTCTTTTTGAACAAATCTTGTCCAGAAACTCCTGATAGGCTTAAGGCTGTAGGGTTGCCTGAAGTCAGAACCAATTTAATGGCACACGACAGCAACAATATTCAAGGTAAGAAAAGTGGGCCATGCTACAATTCCATTCCTCCTCCCATGTGATTGTTCTGCAAAGTCTGTTCTTTTGAGGACATTATCATAGGGCTCTTCCACACAGTCATATAACCCAAGGCAGAAAATCCCACAATATCTGCTTTGAGCTGGGTTATCTTGAGTCCACACTGCCATATATTCCAGTTCAAAGCAGATAATGTAGAATTTTATGTGTGGAAGGGGGCGTAGTTTAGGATTCTTGAAGGTCTGAATGGGTTTTTTTTTTTCTCTCTCCCTCACCACCATTTACAGGAAATTGGAGGCACTGGATCTTTCCCACAACCGTTTGGCACTTGTGCCCTCATTCCTGCCCCGGCACCTGAAACAGCTGACTCTGCACCACAACTGTATAGAACGTATCCCTGGCTACGTCTTTGCCCACATGAAGCCAGGCCTGGAATTCCTGCACCTCTCTCACAATGTCTTGCAGGATGATGGCATCCATGCAGTCTCCTTCTTGGGACTCTACCACTCACTGGCCGAACTGCTCCTGGACAATAACCAGCTCCAGTCCATTCCCCGTGGCATTTTGAACTTAAAGGGCTTGCAAGTTCTGCGGCTGAGCCACAATCGTATCAGGTAAAAAGATATATTAGCAGCTAAGCATCTGTTTAAAAGATGAGGCAAAAATACTCTGGAGGCATCAGATCTCATTCAATATAATAACTTTGTTTTTATACCCCGCCTCCATCTCCCCAAAGGGATTCTGGGCGGCTTACATAGGGACAAGCCCAAAGCTTAGAAGCTTACTAACCAAGTAAAGCTTGGTTAGTACTTGGAGGGGAAACCACCAATGAATGTCAGGTGTTATATAGGCTATATTGAAAAGATCACAATGACAAACTACTTCTGAACATTCCTTATCTTAGCAAATCCTATGAAATTAATGGTGTTGTTGTAAACAATCAGGCATATATCGAATTACTCCCAAGCGATTAGATCTTATCTAATCTTGAAAATCAAGCAGGGTCAAGTCTGGTCAATACTTGGATGGGGGACTGCCAAGAAAATTGAGATCAATGTAATTGCAAAACCCCCTTGGAGTGCTTCTTGCCTAAGAAAATGCTGTGAAAATTACAGGATTGCTATAAGTTGACAGGTGATTTGAAAGTACATATATTTTACATGCTTAGAGAAGAAGGTAGTTCCTGAAGGGAGTACTTACTTACTTACTTAGGTGAACCCTCGTTGGCCGAGTAGTATAGTCTTCCAGGATCAGTCTTCTGGTGGATCCGTAAGTGACTGTGGAGCCCTATTCTTGATCTGCATCTTCATTCGCAGTGAGGGGATCCGTTTCCAGGTGGAAGGCGGTCCCGGTCGGGGTTGGCTTGACGCACCTTCCTCTTGGCACATTTCTCTCTTTCGCCCTCCATTCGTGCCTCTTCAAATTCTGCAGCACTGCTGGTCACAGCTGACCTCTAGCTGGAGCGCTCAAGGGCCAGGGCTTCCCAGTTCTCAATGTCTATGCCAGAGTTTTTAAGGTTGGCTTTGAGCCCATCTTTAAATCTCTTTTCATGCCCACCAATATTCCGTTTTCCATTCTTGAGTTCGGAGTAGAGCAACTGCTTTGGGAGACGGTGGTCGGGCATCCGGACAAGCGGAGTTGATGGCGGAGGACCATCGCTTCAGTGCTGGTGGTCTTTGCTTCTTCCATCATGCTGACGTTTGTCCGCCTGTCTTCCCAAGAGATTTGCAGGATTTTCCTAAAGGGAGTAATGCAGTCTGGAAACATTGCTTTTCTTACTTTTCATTTCCCACTCTGCAGTCAGTATGACCTTCCTAGCCAGGCCTTTTGGAAATTGTAGTCTGTAGTCTGCTTAAATGGTTATTGTGGCAGTTAAAGCCTCTTACAAGATCTGAGTAAATATCTGTGTTCTCTCTTCTTGGGCAGAAACATCCCACTGAACTCTGTCTGTGACACGCGTGTGGCAGAGGACTCCAACATTGTGTCCATGCATCTGGAGAACAACCTGATTGACCGCCGCCGCATCCCACCCACAGCTTTCTCTTGCATCAAAGCGTATCACAGCGTGGTGCTGCGGCCACAGCAGAATGAGGACGAGGATGACTACTAAAGAGACAACTCTAGCAAGTCATTCCCAACATCGATCAGATAGCCCCAACACTATGGGCACAAAAATAGATCCCACCTGTCCTAGGGGTGGCTGTGGAAAGGAAACTCTTGACCTTCAAGATATTTCAGTGTCAGAATATGTTACAAAAAGATGTACCTCCTCAAAACCTACTTCTCTGTTGTTTCATATTCCTTCTTCATTTGAAGGGTACATCTTTTGTGGACAGTCTTTAAAGTTGTGAGTAATGAAAGTGTATGGGAAGCCTATGGAGCTTTTCTCTGATTTGCCTCTTCATATGTTTTCCAAACACAGTACAACTCCAATGTCTTTGGGAATATGTTCTTGGCATGCATGTTGATATGAAAAAAAAGGATAACAGTGAGCATTACTGGAATGAAAGACTCCTGGCCCAAGAATACCACAGAGGCCATATTTATTGGATGTGGATAAAGGAAGCTTCAGATACTGGATCCAGAGATATGCAGGTTGCACTGTATAGGGATATGGAAGATCAGGCAAGCATTCAGGCTGATAAGCACAAGCACATATTGATTCTCACCCCAAAATCCTTAAGCCCACTTTCCTTCACTTTGACTCTCTTGCTGTCACATTGCTCACGGGGGAGAAATCTAAAATATTTCTTTAGATTTCTCTCCCTTCAAACAAGTTGGATGCGATTTTCCTGCTTATTGGTAGGGGGTTGGACTGGATGGCCCACAAGGTCTCTTCCAACTCTATGATTCTACAATTTTAAGTTAGGATGGTGGTAGAATCATAGAATCAAAGAGTTGGAAGAGACCTCATGGGCCATCCAGTCCAACCCCATTCTGCCAAGAAGCAGGAATATTGCATTCAAAGCGCCCCTGACAGATGCCCATCCAGCCTCTGTTTAAAAGCTTCCAAAGAAAGAGCCTCCACCACACTCCGGGGCAGAGAGTTCCACTGCTGAATGGCTCTCACAGTCAGGAAGTTCTTCCTCATGTTCAGATGGATTCTCCTCTCTTGTAGTTTGAAGCCATTGTTTCGTGTCCTAGTCTCCAGGGAAGCAGAAAACAAGCTTGCTCCCTCTTCCCTGTGGTTTCCTCTCACATATTTATACATGGCTATCATATCTCCTCTCAGCCTTCTCTTCTTCAGGCTAAACATGCCCAGATCCTTAAGCCGCTCTTCATAGGGCTTGTTTTCCAGACCCTTGATGATTTTAGTCGCCCTCCTTTGGACACACTCCTCTGGTAACTAGAAGACAAGTGCCAGCGCTCAGCAAAAGGTGCAAACATTTCCAGAGAGAGGTTCATTTACCATATTTAAAGAAAATACTTATAATCCACTTAAAAGCATGTGTATGTATACATGTCTTCAAGTTGCCTGTCAACCTATGACAACTATATTAATTTCCTATGTTTTTTAAAGGCAAAGAATACCCAAAAAGATGGGTTCGCAGTTAGCTTTATTCTCTGCAGCAGATTTTCCTGCTGTAGCAAAACTTCCATTTTTCATTTATTCAATTTTTCATATATTCAACAGTGTGTTCATTTAGATATTCATCTGTCCTCATTCTGTCTTTCATAAACAGACAACCATTCATTTAAGAGGCTACTCGATTGTTGTTTTATGCTATTAGCTGTTCCCACTGACACATCCATCCATCCACAGTTATTTAGACATAGATGCATTGCACATGCTCCCTACTAACACATTTTCATCACATCCAGCTGTTCTATTTGATAAATGCTCTATCATATATTTTCCTCCAGCCGCTTTTAAAATGCCTCAGGTTCTCTGTCCTCCTCTCGCTTTGTCCCAGTCTTATTTCTATTGTGTGAACAGATTTCTTAAGTGCTTCAGCCCCAACCCCCCACGAAATTCTCATGGTGGTTTGCGAAAAGGCCTTACTGGTGCATTATTTAAACTGTTATGTTTATTCATATCATGATCTGATCACCATACTCAATATATCCCATATGCATGGGGTATTGGGGTAACGATACAAAAGGTTTGCTAGGGTAGACCCTCTTTCACTCAGACTCAGCCCCCCCCCCCCCCCGAATCAAACTCAGCCCCCCCCCCCCCCCCGGGATCAAAATCCTGGCTACGGGCCTGAGAGGAAGGTAATGCTAAACTCCCCTCGAGTTAATCATATTTAGAAAAACCTATTATAGAGTTACTTTAGGGCAGTGTTTCTCAACCTGGGGGTTGGGACCCCTTGGGGGGTCGCAAGGTGTGTCAGAGGGGTTGACAAAGACCATCAAATAACAGCATTTTCTGTTGGTTGTTGGAGTTCTGTGTGGGAAGTTGAGCCCAATTCTATCGTTGGTTGGGTTCTGAATGTCCTTTGATTGTCGGTGGACTATAAATCCCAGCAACTACAACCCCCAAATGTTAAGGTCTATTTCCCCCAAAATCCGCCAGTGTTCACAATTGGGCATATTGAGCATTCATGCCAAGGTTGATCCAGATCCATCATTGTTTGAGTCCTCACTGTGCTCTCTGGATGTAGGTGAACTACAACTTCAAAACTCAAGGTCAGTGCCCACCAAACTCTTCCAGTATTTTCTGTTGGTCATGGGAGTTCTGTGTGCCAAGTTTGGTTCAATTTCATTGTTGGTAGAACTCAGAATGCCCTTTTGATTGTAAGTTAACTATAAATCCCAGAAACTACAACTCCCAAATGGAAAAATCAATCTCCTCACAACCCCACCAAACTTGGACGTATTGAGTATTTATGCCAAATTTGGTCCAATGAATGAAAATACATCCTGCATATTGGATATTTACATTAAGATTCACAACAGTAGCAAAATTACAGTTGTGAAGTAGCAATGAACATAATGTTATGGTTGGGGGTCACCACAACATGACAAACTGTATTAAGGGGTCGCAGCGTTGGGAAGGTTGAGAAACACTGCTTTAAGGTATTGATGAAGCAAACAACTTAAAGGCACATAACAAGTAATACTTTCCTTATTCCATTCAAAACCCTTCTCCATTGTTTATAATTGTTTTAATTGCTGTTTATATATGCTTTATTTTTATTGTGTAGGCATCGAATTCTGCCTTTTGTAAACTGCCCTGAGTCCCTCCTCGGGGGTTGAGAAGGGCGGGGTAGAAATACGCGAAATAAATAAATAATAAATAAATGCAGTTTCAGAATGCAGATTGACTGCATTGAACTGGATTATATGGCCGTGTAGCCTCATATAATTCAGTCCCATGCAATTAAGATGCATTCTGAAACTGGATTATATGGCACATCCGGCCTGAGTCTTAAAAGTAAACAAAGCACATAGTCCATTTATACACAGCACGCTTCCCACTCTTGTGATTGCCTTGAGCATTTTTTTTATTTCAGCAATATAATCTGAGTTCTTGAGCAAGGGTGCGGGATTACTGGGTTGCTGTGAGTTTTTCGGGCTGCCTGGCAATGTTCCAACAGTATTCCCTCCAAACGTTTCACCTGCATCTGTGGCTGGCATCTTCAGAGTTTCTGGTGGGGGATTATATTGTTGTGGCTGCTATTGTTTATTTACTTTATTTATTTATTTACTTTACTTGTATACCGCAGTTTCTCAGCCCAACAGGCGACTCAACACGGTTTACAACAAGGATAACAATCAAACAACGATATACAATTTAAAACCATAAAAGCATAATATACAATATTGACACAACAATAGACAACACAATGCATCTCATAACTAGAGTCGTGATCCAATCCGTCGTCCAAATTTCCATTCCTGTAATCATCACATTCATTGCACTGTTTAACCAAATGCCCGTTCAAACATCCAAGTTTTTAATCTTCTTCGGAACACCATTAGCGAGGGGGCTGATCTTACCTCCATAGGAAGGGCGTTCCACAGCCGGGGGGCCACCACAGAAAAGGCCCTGTCTCTCGTCCCCGCCAGCCGCACCTGTGAAGCAGGCGGGATAGAGAGCAGGGCCTCCCCAGAAGATCTTAGGGTCCTGGTGGGCTGATAGGCAGAGATACGTTCGGATAGGTAACTTGGGCCAGAACCGTTTAGGGCTTTATAGGCCAACGCCAGCACTTTGAATTGAGCCCGGTAGCAAATCGGCAGCCAGTGGAGCTGGTGCAGCAGAGGAGTTGTATGCTCCCTGCGCTCCGCTCCTGTTAGTATCATGGCTGCCACGCGTTGGACTAGTTGGAGCTTCCGAGCCATCTTCAAAGGCAACCCCACGTAGAAAATATAGTGTTTTCTACGGGATGTAACCAGAGCGTGACTACCGTGGCCAAGTCAGACTTCCCAAGGTACGGCGCAGTTGGCGCACAAGTTTTAATTGTGCGAATGCTCCCCTGGTCACCGCCGAAACCTGGGGTTCCAGGCTCAGCGATGAGTCCAGGATCACACCCAAACTGCGAACCTGCGTCTTCAGGGGGAGTGCGACCCCATCCAACACAGGCTGTAACCCTATACCCTGTTCGGCCTTACGACTGACCAGGAGTACCTGGATTCAATTTCAATTTGTTTGCCCTCATCCAGACCGTCACAGTGGCCAAGCACCGGTTCAGGACCTCGACAGCCTCCTTAGTAGCAGGTGGAAAGGAGTGACAGAGTTGGACATCATCCGCGTACAGATGACATCGCACTCCGAAACTCCGGATGATCTCTCCCAGCGGCTTCATGTATATGTTAAACAACATGGGAGACAGTATTGAACCCTGAGGAACCCCACAAGACAAAGGTTGTGGGGTTGAACAGGAGTCTCCCAGTAACACCTTCTGAGACCGACCTCAAGGAATGAGCGGAGCCACTGTAAAACAGTACCTCCAAGACCCATCCCCGCGAGGCGTCCCAGAAGGGGACTATTGGGACTGAGAAATCTAAACTATTGGGACTGTGAAATCTGTGGGAATGTGCTACAAATCACCCCATGTTTTACCAGTAGATCCAGGCCTGCCTTTGGCAAAGTGGCCCCAGGAGGCATCTTTGTCAAAAGGCAGAGCAAGGTGAGAATATCTCAGCCTCTGTACAAAAAGCATATTTTGAGCCACACAGCTTTTTGTTCTACTTGCACTGGGGATGGATGGCTTGGCGGGGGCCGGGAGCTCTGACGCAGCCTCCAAAGCTGGTTCCAATTTGCAAGAGGCAGGGTTGGGGAGGAGGGTGAAATGGGACTGGAGGGAGCACTGCAAGTCCAAGCCAAAGCCAACATTTGCCTCTGGCCCCCCTGACCTTCCTAAAAACAGGAAGTGCCTTTGTTATGATCCAGATCAGAGGGAGATTGTAGCTGCAAGCTGGGCATTAACTGTTCCTTGCTCTTGACGGGACCCTGAGGGGCCAGGGCTGGCTTTGGGTAAAGGAGGGAGAGACACAAAGTCAGCCCAGAGAAAAACAAGTCCTCATTGCAAAA